TGTATTAAAAAGTGTCCATTTACTAGAGTAGTGATTACAAGTCTTTTTTTTTTTTTTACTTTCAGGTTCAGGGGTATATGTGAAGGTTTGTTATATAGGTAAACTTGTGTCACAGGGGTTTCTTGTACACAGTTCTTAGGAGATTTCACCTTCTACTAAGATGAGAACATGGCAATTGCTCAACATTTAGTAGTATTAATACATTATAATAGATAGTTATAATTCTTATCTTTATAGTCCATCATAGAATGTAGGATGCATTTTGCTGAAAAAATAATGAAATTATTTTTTAAAATATAACATGTTCAGGAAATAAAGACAGCACACTCTACTTTTGATATATTAGTGGTGGTGTTTAATTCTAAGATCCACAACTGTAGCAGAACCTCAAATGCTAGTCTTGACCACCACTGACTGCGTTCCATTCTTCTCCACCAAGCTTTTTTTTAAATAATTCATGCACTTGCTTACAAAGTATTTCAACATTAGACGTATGAATGTGCTGTGATGAAAATGACATTAGAGAATCCCTAACAATCATATTATGCAATAAGCTGAGATCTAGATTTATTATACTTGGAGTATATACCTATTTCCTTTTTTCCGTCTTGCCCTTCTTTTTTGCTCAGTTTCTCTTTATTCCTTTCTTACTCTCTCAATCTTGCTATATGTTTGTGTGTGTGCATGTGTGTGTGTGTGTGTACATTTGCCTATATATATGTGTGTGTGTGTATACATATACACATATATACACACACATATATAGGCAAATGTATATATATACACATACACACACATAAACATATATATATATAGAAATGTATATATATATGTTTGCCTATATATATACTCACACAAAGACACACATACATGTATATATACATATATACATACATATGCAGGCAAATGTTACAGAGAAAAGGATGTTGTATAATTTAAAAATTCTTATAAACAACTTGATATGATTCAGCCTTCTGAATTTCATGATCTAATAGTTGCCAAAGATTGTTTACTGGTTACATTTAATATTCATCAAGAATAATTTAGTCTCTGATTTAAGCATCCTGTAGAAAGTGAAACAAACATATTGTTAATTTACATGACTCTAAAAAACTTTGGTTAATATTTTAAAATAGAACACAAGGAGAAGGACAATTTATTCTTGTGGGCTAACATCAGTTCTTTAGAGTTTCGAGATCAATAAATTTGTATGATTCAGTCAGACTTCATCATATATCTAGCAATATGTGTTACTTTTACTAATTGAAATGAAATTATGCTACGAAAATGAATTTCAATAACATTTGTATTAGATAAATGAAAAAGAGATCAAGTTTTGTCGTATATGACAAGTGTTTCTTTGAATTACAGAACATATCTAATATCAAAGGTTTTTACTATTGCCTCAGATAAACATGAGTGAAATAAACGTGTGGTCAGAATGCACTTGCTTTCTCAAGTCTGTTCTGTTTTTTGTTACAGTACTTTTATAAACATAATGTATAGATTATATATATATGATTCAATTTCATTTATAAAAAAGAAATGGCCATTTCTTAAAAATTAAATGTGAATGGCCAATCCAAATTACTTATTTCACAAATTAAATGTTGCTTGGTAGATAAAGGCAATTTTCAGTTAAATTGTATTCTTCAGTAGTGGGTCTCTCTTACCATTCACAGCTGGATTTCAGTGTGTTTAGTGTGATAAATTGTTCTACTGGCTTTGTTTCATCTCAGCCAGTGTTTTTACATTGTATCTAAATGTCACTGAATGGCCAGACTTATAAAAGAAAACTCTGAGGCAGGATATACGTGCCCAGACATGTATATATAGACCCCACATAATATTCTTCTCCACCTTAAAGCCTGAGTGAAATTTTTTAACATAGGCACAGGGAACTGGGACAGGAATCATGCAAATTTTTAAGGTAGTTAATAGGAAGAGAAGGAAACACAGAAGGCTTTGAGAAAGCCAGCATGTGGCCAGAAACAACAGCAGGTGTGGACATATGGCAATCAAATTAGAAAAGGGATTCTTGCCACACAGCCTTCCAGAAGAGAGTAAAGCCCCAGCGGCCCTCATGGAGGGATGATTTACTAAGTACACTTTATGTATTTTATATTGCCTCTTCCACTATTCAGTTCCAAAGGAAATGTAAATCTATTCTACCAAATAGATATAAAATTTTTTCTTAATGAATAAAAATAATCATTTTGAGTTGCCTTTTTACATTTAGAAAAGATTGCTATGCCAAAAGCACATTTCCAAATAAAGCATTAGCTAAGCTGAGACCATTTTCAAAAAAGCAAAGTTTGCAAGGCTGTAATTTAATGATACTATTTTATTTTAACAAAGCATTTGGTGAGATTATTTAAAATTTTAAAATTCCCTTAGTCCAAGACAACCGTTAATAATATAATTAAAGATATTTATTTAAGATCCCTTAACTTGTAAAATAATCTTCTATAGAAGATTGTGGAGCACATTTTCCTATTAAGAATTTTTCTGTAAATGTGTTTTAGTTCTCAGATTAGCTTTCAAAAACTTATTTGACCTACAAAATAACAAGAGCTGCATTATTAGCAGTCCTTCTTAAAATGTATTATTACCATTATATCATGTTACTGTAATTTCAGCAGCATTCACCAGCTACAATTGTGTGTGTGTGTTTGTGTGTGTGTGTGTGTGTGTGTGTGTGTGTGTATCTGTCTGAACTGTATCTGTCTGATGTAGACTGGGAAACTGTCCATGTTTTGGTTTTGTTCTTCATTGTTTTTTTGTTTTTGCTTTTGTTTTTGTTTTGAGACAAAGTCTCATTCCATCTGGAGTGCGATGGCACGATCTGGGCTCACTGCAATCTCCGCCCCTTGGGTTCCAGCGATTCTCCTGCCTCAACCTCCCAAGTAGCTAGGATTGCAGGCACGCACCACTATGCCCAGCTGATTTTTATATTTTTAGTAGAGACGGGATTTCACCAAGTTGGACGTGGAGGCCGGTCTTGAATTCCTGACCTCAAGTGATCTGCCTGCCTCGGCCTCCCAAAGTGCTGGGATTACAGGCGTGAGCCATGTGCCCAAGCTCCTTCATTGTTTTTACCCTTTGGGAAAATACAATCTTTGTTCAGGACCCAGAAAGACCTATGAAAATCTTCCTTTCCCAAGAGTTTCTTTTCTGTCTCTCTCTCTCTTTTTCTCTTTCTCTCTCTCTCTCTCTCTCTCTCTCTCTCACATACGCACACTCTCTCTTTTATTAGGGTTGTAACAAGATAGCCTATGGTCAGAATGAAGACTATGTTCATATTTCAACCTTGAATTCTCTGGTTTGTTTCTGCTTATATTTGCACCACACTTCTATTTCCTATGATCGAGTTTTCTGAACACCACCACAACAAACGGGTAACTAATTATCCAAACAAACCAATAGTTTTTAACTAAGCATTGATTGCTTCACTAATAGCGTTTTTTTCAAACAGGATTGTTGTGTTTACTTTGAATATAGAAATTACCTTGTCTACATAAAAAATAGGAACTTGCAGTTACTTTCTTGTTAGAGTGTCTATTGTGCTTCTACTGAAATTAGTTTACATGTGGTTAACTTAATAGAAGGCCAGACTTCGTTTTTGGTTTTTGTTTTGTTTTTGTTTGAGATGGAGTCTCGCTCTGTTGCTCAGGCTGGAGTACAGCACCACAGCCTGGGCCTCCTGGGCTCAAATCATCCTTCCACTTCAGCCTCCCGAGTAGCTGGGACCACAGGGATGCACCACCATCCCCAGCTAATTTTTTTTTTTTTTTTTTTTTTTTTGGTAGAGATGAGGTCTGACTATATTACCCAGGCTGGGCTCAAACTCTTGGACTCAAATGATCCTCCTGCCTTGGCCTCCCAAAGTGCTGGGATAACAGGGGTGAGCTGCTGTGCTCACCCTCTTCATTGTTTTAAAATAGGCTTTTTGTTGGCAATTTGTTTTGGTTCAAGGCTTTTTTATTTTATTTTATTTTCTTAAAATCTAGCTCTTAAAATAAGTTTACAGTTATAGCAAAGTAAAGGAAGCCAAAAACCATAATTAACATCATTGCCTCCACCACTCAAATGCTAAAACTGTTAGTATTTTAGTGTATTTGCTGTCAGTAATCACTAACCTAAAACATATGGCTAAAGCCCATTGGGTTCACTTCTAGGTGCTCTCTACTCTTATGTGGGAGGAAAGCACTGACATGAGTTTGGTGGGTTTCATTCCTTTCCATTAAATACATATATATATATATATATAATATATATAAAACATATATTTTTGATGGAGATATATATATATATATATATATAATATATATCTCCATCAAAAATATATTGTGTGTAGTTTTTAATGTCTGTGGTGTGTATCTTTAACATATATATATATATAGGCTATTATATATACATTTGATATTGTTTATATTTTTTGAGGCAGGGTCTCACTCTGTCACCCAGGCTGGAATGCAGGTGTGAGACACCTGCATTCCAGCGTCAGTGTGATTTCAGCTCACTGCAGCCTCAACTACCCGGGTTTAGGCGATCCTTCCACCTCAGCCTTCTGAGAGGTGGGACTACAGGGACACACCACCATGCCCAGCTAAATTTTGCAGAGACAGGGTTTCACCATGTTGCCTACGCTGGTCTCAAACTCCTGGGCTCTAGTGGACTGCCTGCCATGGCCTCCCAAAATGCTGGAATTACAGATGTGAGACACCACGCCCAGCACCCCACTTTGTTTTTTTATTTATCCTATTGACATATGTAGACCTACTTCTCCTTTTTAACGATTTTGTAACATTTCATCTAAGGAATAGAAAATATTGTATTTATTCATTCCTTTTTTGATAGGCATTTCTAATTTCCCTTCTTAATAGTTTTTCTGTTATTCCATTATTACTTATAAGTAACTTTTATAATCACAGAAATATTTGAGTCCTTAAGATTTGCACATTTTTATTATATACCAAACCAGTCTTGAATATTTACCGCTGGAGATATTTTCTTCTTGATTATGCCTCATATCTGGCAAAATGGCAAATAATTCAATATATTATTTTTAACATCAAATGTAATTTGTTCAAAATTTACATTAATCTTTATCATAACTAATCACTTCCATTTTGTCTTCCTGTCATCCTGAAGAATGAAAGTGGAATTTCCCAGAGGTTTTAAGAATTGGAGGAGTATTAAATGTAGCTGAAATTAAGTGATTAATAATTTACTTTTGGGTCATTAATCAACTTCATGGGATGCTAAGGATCATTTGCAACCCCAGAAGCATGAGCAGTAACAATGCACCTTTTAAGACTCCAGAAATCTCAAAGGTTGGCTGCCCAACCTAATTAAACTTCAATCTTCTGATACGAAATTTATTTCTTCTTTGTACTGCATTCCTCAGATCTTCCTGACAGGAAAATGTCACTTTGCCCGACAGCTGATAGACAGGTTATGTAGCACCATAACTGGAGAGAAAAGGATAGCTTAAAGCTACTCGATTTAATGGCTACGTGTATGGCTTTTTCTTTCTTTCTTTCTCTTTTTTTTAAAGTTTCTATGACAGACACAAAAGGCCTTAGCAAATAGGCCCAGTGCCATTTTTTCCTGCTTCCTCCAGGGGTAATTATCTTACTCCATCAATAGTGCTGTCAGAAATTGGGCACATAATTCAGCATTTAAATGAACAAGCAATGTAATATTTCCTGTCTCCCAGTGGAATGCTTTGCAGCTCACATTCTTCTCTGTCACTTGCTCACTCTTGATGTATGTCCCATACCCAGTCCTTGAATGCCTTCTCTCCCTTGTGTCTCATTGCAGATGTTGGCTCCGACTTGACACCTACTTCATTTGGAGTTTTATAGGACCAGCAACCTTGATAATTATGGTAAGAATTCCTAATTAACTCTGTGTTTCCCAGGTCAAGAAATAAAACTTTCACTATCCCAGTACTGACTATCTTTAATTTACAGAGGTTAATGTGGGGAAAGCATGTACTTATTTGACCCTACATAATTCAAGCAATTAAACACTCATTATAGTCTACTTTTATGTTGTAAAATAGTTAATCAAAACTGTTGGAATAAGAAAATATGCATTTGCAAAATCTTATGCAATATAATAGCTACTCAAGGGTCTAATCCAACATAATCCATTTGGTTCTATAGATATTTGAACAGTGATGAGTTTAAGTTTGACAGTAGTATATTTCCATTATTTTTCTTTTGAATAATTTGAATTGGAAACTGACAGAAATTAGAAAGATGAGAAAACACCTGACTCTTCCTATCAGCTTTGTTTTATATATGAATCTTGAAAACTTTAAAATTTAAAAGCAAAACTTTAAAATTTTACTTGAGAATGGCACAATCACATTAGACATATATTCTGGAATCATATTTCCTTTTCTGTTTTGAGATTCATAATATTTTGGTTTCAAAAATGAATTGTTTAACTTAATTTAGATTAAACTCTTAGTATAATTGTTTATATAGTTATTTTAAAAATAAAAGTTGTTCTCCATCTTGTGAATAAAATATTAGCCTATTGATTTTTGGTTAAATATAGGTGTACAGTTTCTTATCTGAAACCTTTGGTACAAGATGTATTTTGGAATCAGAAAATTTTCAGACTTTGAAAAGATAATATGATACATATACTGCATAATACACAATATCCCTAGTGAGGAATAGGCAGTTACCCAAAATCAAAACATATCAACCAATACTCACAGTGACTAGGGAGCACTCTGTAACTGAAGACAATATTTTGCCAGAAAAAAAAAAAAAAAAGGAAAAAGGAAAGGTAAGAGCAAGTAGTAGAAAGACCGTGGACAGCCTTATGTCAATTCAAATTAGGTTTTCCCACCTTTTAGATTTCGTTCATGTTAGGGGCCACTGAATGGATTTTTTTTAAAATAACTCTCACTTTGTAAACTTTCTGGATTTGGGGATGATTGATATAGTATTGTGAATATGTATTTTTGAAAGAATTTCAGGAGGGCTTTATTGCCAACTTGTGGAATGTATAAATTAATCAAGTGGTAAAGGGCAATTCACTATGTGTTTTGTTAAATACAGTTTAGTTTTATGTGATATATGAAGTTTACATGAGGACTTTACTTCTGTTTTGTTTTAAATTTTATGCTTTCTCTGTTTCCAGTGATATGACAATGCCATTGGGGATTTCTTTTACTTTAGTCCTTGTTTATTATAGCATCAGAATTTAGCCAACATTTTATAATCCTTTTGAGCCAGCTACACAAAAATATATTGATTTTAGTATTTGTATTTTTGTAATATAATATTTGAAAATGTGTCACTAAACAATAAATTCAGACAAACATTCAGAGTATAGAAATAGTAACACATCTTTAAAAAAGTATTGTTTTTGTTTTGACACACACTAGGCTTTGAATTGTTTCAAAATTTCCACAGCATCATTCCAGCTGATGCTGATTTTGTATTTGTGTGATTTGACATAGCAGTGCTTTGTAACTCAGCAGTATCCCAATTCCCAAAACTGGCTTCTTGCCTTTACTAAAACGCCAGGCAGTCATCTCTGATCCAATTCCTTTGAAAGTGTAGTGAGACCTAATTTCCCAGAACATCTCATCTGTTACAGAGAATAGATTTTGTTTTTGTTTTTTTTCCTACTCCAGTTATGCTACATAACACTACCTTTTGCATTCCAGCTTAATGTAATCTTCCTTGGGATTGCTTTATATAAAATGTTTCATCATACTGCTATACTGAAACCTGAATCAGGCTGTCTTGATAATATCAAGTAAGTGATTTTTATTTTTGTTTTGTATAGGTTGCCTTATATTTATACTCCAAACTATCCTTTCTTTTATGTCAAAATCTTATGACAAAATGATAAAGAATATGCGTGTATTATCTTTGCTGAATAAGATTATTCATTGACCGTCAAATTGACTTGATCTGCCTGAAAATAAGTATAATAAAGTTCTGTTTTCAAAGATACTTTTTCTCCTAAATTCTTATTTAGAACATGTTAATTTTAAATATATATATTCATTTTGTCCCAAAAACAAACGCAATGTTTCTATTTAGGACAGATTATTATTATTATTTTATTTTAATTTTTTGAGACAGAATTTCACTCTTGTTACCCAGGCTGGAGTGCAATGGTGCAAACTTGGTTCACTGCAACCTCCACCTCCCAGTTCTAGCGATTCTCCTGCCTCAGCCTCCCGAGTAGCTGGGACCACATGCACCTGCCACCATGCCTGGCTTATTTTTTGTATTTTTAGTAGAGACAGGATTTCACCATGTTGGCCAAGCTGGTCTTGAACCCCCGACCTCAGGTGATCTGCCTGCCTTGGCCTCCCAAAGGTCTAGGATTATAGGCCTGAGCTACCATGCCCAGCCAGATTATTCTTTCTCAGAGCAATTACCACATTACTTCCTCACACTCCATCTCCTCATCCAGAGCAATGTGATGAGAGCCAGATGATTGTACGCACAAGTACCAAAAGGGGGATTTTACATCATAGAAAAGGAACCCCAGATTTATGAATCTGAGCATTTATATAGGGGCTGTTAGACAGCTGCCCTCTCCTTCTGAGAGAAATAAAGAAATCTTCCTAATGTAAACAGACATTTTGTCATATAAAAATATGGCTCTAAATTTCACCTCCCTTTGAAATATTAACACTTAACCTTCTGGGAGCTAAAGCTGAATCTCTCCAGAAGTCTTTATCTATTTAATCATCTTACAACTTTGAAAGTTTGTTTTTTCACCCAAGTTCCACTTTTGTATGCTTTGAAAGTCCTGTCATGCAACCGTATGAAAACATTCACGTTTTTTTTCAATAGTAGTAAGACTTTATATAGGCAAAAACAAAGTAGCTAATTTACATTTCCTGAAAAGAAAAACAGTTGCATTCCTTGATATAACAAAAAAACTTATCTTGTTTCTTTGGAGTGTATGATATTTTAGAAAGATAGTAATATTTAGATGTATATTAGTTATTAAGATACAATATATTAAATTTCATTTTTATGTAATTTGTCTATGCTAGTGTTATATTTAAGAGCTTTTATTTAAATGAATGTATTTTCAGAAGTTTCATGAGGTAACCTGTGACTTTTCTGTGCTACTGACATTCTCCTTGAACTACTTCAGATAGCAATTATGTCACCCATTTTCCATCTTTCTACATTCAGTGCCTGACGGTTCTTGGCCCATAGTAGGCTCTCAATGAATGTTTACAGAATAAAGTAACATATTGAAGACTTTAGTGTCCAGGTGTATTGATATTAAGTAGTTAATTTTGTTGAAGGAATTATTTGTCTATGTGAAATATAAAGGATAACCAAGGAATTAGAAAAACTAAAATATAGTGGTACAAAATAGAAATTATTTACAATAAGTGATAGCCTTTTGTAATCCTCAATATTACTTAGTTGAGATAACAGTCGTTGTATTGTTGAATTATGTACCACTGAACGGTACTTCTGAAATACAGTATTGGTTTCTTAGATTATTTGTTCCTGATGAAATTGAATTTGGATAAATTAAATAGGCACATAAAATATATTTATCATATTGTAGTTATACTCATTTTAGTAGAAATTACATATTTGCACCCATTTTGTAGTATAAAATAAAACACAAATAACACTTTATTTGTATCATGTATTTAAATACTGTCAGAAATAAGAGAGTAAGACTTTTAACATTTATGTAACACTGGCTTAAAAAATAGCAGAAAGGATTATTCTTTGTCCTATATTTCAAGTATACTTTTTAGGTGTTTTTTTTTTTTTTTTTTTTTTTTTTTGTCTAATTTAGCAAAGACGAAGAGTTTTCCTTACCTTTAACTTTATGATTTGTATTTAGTACTGTCACATATTTTTAAATATCAATTTGTTTGTATGATGTTCATATGTTTTTAGGTAATTGGGTTGAATATGATATTATCATTTAGAAAACTAAACACAAAAAATCAATAATTATATTTAGTGG